GGGGCATGTATTCTGTATTGGAATACATTTTAAAAGTAACCTTCCCAACACTGTCCAGGAGCTACAACAATCAGTTGCTTCTGGGCAAAGATCCCCAATCCCCTCCCATTTCAGCCTGAAAACTACTGCAGGAAAAAAAAAAAAAAAGTTTCTGCATATACATGAGGCAGCATTAATTTCCACTCCTTTTTTGCAGTGCACCAATCACAAAGCATTACCCAAAAACTGCAAGGCGCTCCACTTCTGCAGGTTTAGACCACCTTAATCAGTCCAGCGCTTTCCCCAAAACATTTTTTGATCCTCACCACTCCATCGGCGTAGACTCGCAGGTTTATCTTCCTCTGCTCAGCTCTCTCCAGGATATCTTTGGCAGCCACGCTACAGCTGATCTTTAGTGTGTCAAAGAACATTTCGCTCTGCAGCCGGTGTCCCGCTCTCTTCAGACCTGAAAGAAAATGTACAAATTAACTGTGCACGGCATGTTTACGGGGAGAAGTTTGGATAAAGGCAAAGAACAGAAATTTGGTGACATATTTGTCTCTATCCAGTCTTTAATCACTCATTACTGAGAATGTGCACAAAGTAAAATGAGAAATTTGCAGCATATTTTTTTAAATAACAAACAATTTCTCAATTTGAGTGAGGACTGAAGTTTTACTGCAATGTTGCATATATATTTATATACCTTCTGCAAGGATCAAAGCAGCACCATGTGTCCTCTTCGCAATGTGTTTTAGTCCCTGGGGGCCATGATACAGTGCATACATAGCAGCCATATTGGCCAGCAGAGCCTAGGAAAACAGTATTTTTTTTTGTAATTAGTTTAGAGTAATGCATTTCACCAAAATGAAGGACGCATATAAACCTGGATCGTACCTGCGCAGTGCAAATGTTGCTGGTTGCCTTATCTCTGCGGATGTGCTGCTCTCTGGTCTGCAGTGCAAGACGATACACTTCTTTACCAGCTGCATCTCTGCAACAACAGCATAGCATTCAACCATCTTACCACTGTCATCAGTTTACTCAGAAATGAAGATTAGCAATCTTGAACCCTGAAGGTCGCTTCTCACTTGGTGACTCCAACCATTCTGCCAGGCATCATCCGGACCAGGTTTTCTCTAACCGCAAAAAAGGCGGCATGTGGACCGCCGTAGCAAAGAGGAACCCCAAACCGCTGGGAACTGCCCAGTGCGATATCAACACCAAATTCTCCAGGGGGACGTAGCACACACAGTGCCAATAGGTCTGTGGCACAGCAAGCCAGGGCCTGGACAGGAGATAAAAACCAATCTCAGCAGTGGAAATGAACAAAGCTGTTCCCATTTGTTATTAAGATCATTCTTAAGCCTAATTATATGCCCTGCTCCCACGGTTCTTTTGGGGAGCTTTTACATTTCTTTTTGTGGTTAAAGCTTTCTTACCCCACCCTTGTGTGCTCGATCTACAAGCGCAGTGAAGTCTTCCACTCTGCCATCAGTGTCTGGATATTGAAACAGCACACCGCTCACATCTTGTCCACTGAAGTCCATCTCATGAGGCAGCTTTAGAATCGTTTTTACTCCAATATAGCTGCAACACAGCAGTCAAAATTGAATGATCAAAATACAGACACAGGATGCAATCAAACTTGCGCCCAAATAAAAAAAATACAAATAAATCAATACCCCCGATTTAAATTCCCCTTCAAGCGAGTATTTTTGTGCAGTTCTGGACCACTTCAAGTACCCCTGCAGCTACATTTCAATCTCCCCGTTCAGGTCTGAACACTTGGATGAGCAAACTTTGTGTTGTGTGTCAAAGTCAAACAACATTGACGTAGATGATCATCGTTAGCGATGGACAAAGACAGAACCCCGAGGAGGACATATGATGGCACAACAGAGAATACACCTCAAGGAATTAAAAAAATAATAAAGTTGCCTAGGACAACACCTTTGCAATATTTTTTACTTCAATCTAATTTTAATATTAAATATATTTAGATTCTTTTTTATGATTTACTGTTACTGGAGACCTCATACATTGACTGTCTATGATGCATACTTAGCTCTGGTCTGCACTACAGCAATAGTCTGGGGATGGCAGCGTGGGTCAACGTAGAAGGTTCTTCTTTTGTTTTGTCTGTGAGGAGCAAATATCAATAACAGACCACTGTAAGGCAGGTTTAATACACACACTACATCTTGAATCTACAACAGGTGGCACAGACTACGATCCATTCTAGTGGCCAAAATAGAATTTCACAAGACTATATTCAAGATCAACTGAGCACGTTTCTCTAAACAGGTCAGCATGTAAATACCTGTGACAGAGCTGCATGGCCTCAGCAGCAGCCGTTCCCTCATCAAGCAGAGAGGCATTAGCCACAGGCATGCCTGTGATGTCACAGATCATGGTCTGGTAGTTGAGAAGAGACTCCAGGCGACCCTGAGCGACCTCGGGCTGGTAAGGGGTGTACTGAGTGACCCTGTGAACAAAACCCAAAACAATGATTCAACAGAGCGAGACTGGACAGAAGAACAATAGCACAAAGTCGATGGCATTTATGGACCCAAGACTGGTCAGGGGAGGCCATTGTATGTCTTCTCTGACCCTAAGAATTTAGAGAAAATGTGGGTCGGAATAGCTGACTTGGAACTGTGTGAAAGAAAATTTTGTTCAGCAAAACGTTGGAGCAATGCAGTTCTCACAAGACCCCAAGTGAAATCAAATCACAAGACTTCTTATTGAGGGCATGTTACTCTGCACCATGACAGTTAAGCTTCAAATTAGTATCCCAAATTTAGGAATAAATATCATTAATTGTCCACAGAAGAAACCAGCTCACACCACTTGTCACATTTCTTCCGATCCAAGGTAGCCTGACGGCACTCACCAGCCTGCATTCTCCAGGAGGTTGCGCTGGATGGGCGGCGGTACGGAGCAGTTGTAGTAACCCATGCCGATGTAGGACCTCCATACTTTGTTTTTTGATGCAATCTTTTGGAGAGTCTCCAGAACTTCATTCTCACCTGCAAAATATTTAAAAGGCAGCTGTTTAAACTTATTCCAAACAACAGTCACTGAGTCATAAGTAAGAAATACAGGATGTTGGTAAGTGTTAAAACAGTTCTACTTAGATTACATCATGTGATACATCTGTCATTACGTCTGCTGCTAAACAACAACAAGACCTGTCTGAAGGTCTGATGAACAGCATTGCAACCCTCACGTGAGCCACTGATTGTGTAACAAGATGAAGAAAATTATAGTGAGCAGTCAGATTAATTTAAAAATAAAAAAATAAAAATAGTCAGTGAAATCCAATCTAATCTGTTTTCTACTGAGAGCCTCAACCATCTTTTTCATATCACTAATAACATAAAATTTTAATACTGAGAGAAATATATCTTATGTTCCCTAAAAACTGGCCCCAAAATCCTAGTACATATTGTTACTTCCTCAATTTCATTAAGCTTCATTTCCCAGTCCTGTAAGGGAGCTCTGCCAGGACACAACCAGCCTCTGAGATTCCTCTGGCCTTTCTGGCTGCCTAGCAACTCCAAGGAATGGACAATACCACCCGTTTGAACCAAGAGTCCTGGCTACTCCCGTTTTGGTGAGAGGAGGACACCTCTAGTGGTGGTGGTGTGAGGGACCACAGCCAGTATGCAAGTGAATATTTACAGCTTCTTTGAAAGATGGGGGGGGAAGGCAGAAGTATTTGGAAATTCAGGATAAACTATAAATAAAAGTACATTTGGGGATGACGCTCAGGGTGAGTTGATGAGACGTGTGAACCGGAGTTCGTTTCAGTTGGAGGACTGCTTTCCCATGGTCCCAGAGTTCTACAGGGCAGCAAAAAAAGCTGATTCACAACCATCCAGGAGGTCTATTGTTGAAGAGAGAATCCTTTGCTGGCTTTGCAAACTGAAGCCCTTCAAAGCTGAACAAGCAGAAAACCAGCACGGCCTCCAGTTTGTTCCTTCAGCATGGCTTGTTGCATTATGAAAACTGACAGTGTCAGGAGGGGCTGACATACAGGCAGGTCAGAGTCACTCTGGCTAATAGACACATTAGAGTACCTGAGCATTAGAAACCTCTTATAAAGATCCTTTTATTACTATAAATGTTAAATTTAATAAAACTGTCATGACTTCATGACTTAGCTCTTTTGACTCTGCATAAAGAGCTCAGTCATCATTCATTACAAGTGTAAAGGTTTTAGACATGCCTCATTTCAATAGCCTGGCATTAAGTTGGGTGCGATTCAATTTCACCATTTATTGACCCCAATTAAGACTTTGAGCCAATACACATTGGTCTGTTTTGATTGCCGGATTGCATGCCCCCCCCTTTTTTTTTTTTCTTCTCGTAATTGATTGAGCATCAATAATCATTTTTATGCTTATCCAAGTTCATAAGCATACAGTCATGGTAAAAGCAAAGTACTCTCTCTTTCGGTTTTACATATCAGGACATTACAATGTCTTAAAGAAATTAGGATATGTTTTTGCAGCCACATGACCCGGGCACCTTGCAGTCAGATTCAACCTTCAACTTCAACTGGGTCATACAACAGGACAATGATCCCAAGCACATCAGAAAATCTACAACAGAATCTCTAAAGGAAAAAAGAAACAGGTAGGGGGGAATCAAGGTGTTGCAATGGCCTAGTCAAAGTCCAGACCTCAGCCTGATTGATATGCTGAATGGAAGCACCTTCAGAGCTGTGCATAAATGAAACCTCAACAACCTGAAGCAATGCCGTAAAGAAGAGCAGGCCCAAATTCCTCCACAATGAGGCAAGAGATTGAAACGATTACTAAAAAGTTATCGCTGCTAAAGGTAGTTAAATTACACTTTGTTTGTCACTAACTGCTTCTGCATTTTAGTTTTTGCTAAACATCTAAAGACATTGTGTGATATGTCATGTTCATCAGGGGTTGTATCTGTCTAATTTGATGACCTGAGGTCTGTACTGTGAAGCAGGATTTCATGTCATCCAGGTAACTTCCGCATTGACTCTGGATTTTCTGTATTAAGAAGGTCATTCTTAGCAGGGTGAGCCATATCTGTGAAACCATGGTAACTTATGCTGCTTTTTTATTTATATATGTAATGTTTTTAATCTCCTGTCTCTCCAGCCCTATTTTTGCACATTTGATAGTGACAGGCCCACTTCACAAAACAAACTGAGCAAAAATACAGCTCCACATGAAAATACACGTTAATTCACACAGGAAGCCATCAGCTTAGAGCTGAAAAAGCCGCAGCTTAAAAAGCGTTAAAAAGATTGACTGCTGTATAGGATTAAACACAGCAGTCTGTGTCTGCTGCTGAAATGTAGGCTATCCGTGTTGTATAGGAGCAAGAAAAAAAAAAACATCCATGCAGCATCATGAAACCACCTTATTAGGATCCCCGGCTGTGATGTAACGTAACGTGAACGCTGTAACCAGATTGAACTGGACTTGGGACCGGAGCTCAAGGCTAAACTTTACACTCCAGTTGCCATCCTATGAGCATCGGCTTCCCAACAGGAGATTGGTGCCGCTCGCCGAGTTTCGCAAAAACAACTCCAAATATGTTCAAAGGAAGACTTAACAGGGGAGAGCGCTCCGCGCCACACAATAGAAGGGCAACCTACATTTCAGCCTCTCACTTGGCTTCAATGAGCGCCCGTTGGGTGTGGGAAAAGCTCGACATGTTTTTAAAAAAAAATAAATTAAAATTTGAAATAAAGCTGCACAATATGAGGTTAACACTCATTCCCCCTCCACACACACACACACACACACACACACATTTATTTGAATTACATTTACAATTTGAAATTGAGATTGGTGGCGCATCGAGAGAGATTTAGGCAGCAGCTTGCAGCGCTATAATAACAGGAAGAGATTCAGCTACTGTTTCACTAACACATACGTGCACATCAGGCCAAACTTACAGACTGGATCATCCATCTTCAAGCTCCTCTGCAGACGGATAGAAGATGGTACTGTGTTTTCAATCAACTGGTCGACTGACTGTGGGAAAAATGGGAAGTTTAATGAACAAAGGCGCGTAAACCGCTATCCAGTGACATAAACACGCCACTCAGTGCAGATGTTTTTGTGCTGAAACTTGTCTTAATGAAAATGAAAGGAGGATTTTTTTTGCGCCCATTTCATAGAGGGAGGGAAACAGCGATGTAAATCTTACCTCGAGTCCCAGAACATCCAGCATGTCTCTCTTCTCCTTCTCACCTGGACCGATGTGGCGCTCAGCAAAATCATCATGTCTGGGTAAAATCCTTTCTATCTGCCTGGAGGAGACGGCTGCAGAGGTCCTCAGAGCCCGGGCTGATGTTGTTAGGGATGCGCAGCTGTTTCGGATCTTGCACTGAAGTTTCCAAACCACGCGGCTCTGATCGCTCAAATGCCTGCGCGGTGCGCCGGGATTCACCGACTTGGCCAAAAAGACCCCCCAGGACTTGGCGCAGCTCTGCATCTCTAAATCACACTGCGAGACAAGCGTGCAGAAACTGGTGAAGCCTTTCCCTCCCTTAACTCAGTAGACTTTCCACCCACTGAGACCGGTGCAGAAGATACAGCCAACTCCTTCAAACTGCTGAGTTTATACGCCTGCACAGTTGCACAAGAGCGGACCAATCAGAGCGGAGACGCTGCGTGACGCGGTGACGAGCCCCGGCTAACCAGCTGCTCAACTTTTCACGTGCCCATAATCTTCAATTGAGCAAGAATAATAAGGTTGGGTATGGATCCAGAATTATTTCATCAGTTGACCTGCCAAGAATGCAAACTAGGAACAGGTCATGCTGTGGGTGTAAGTGGTTACACCTGAACATTAAACACACGTTATTCAGTTTCACAAACAAAGCCATAACCTGTGAGATGAAAACATGCCAATAAATCGTTGTTTAAAGAAAGATAAACATAATCTGTACTAAAACAACTTAATCCACAACAGCTCAATAAATAGAATAAACACACAAGTAACTAAAATAAATTACACAGAATAAATATATTTCAGGTAAAGAAACACTAAAGGAGCTCAATAAGCTAATTGAGTGAAAAATCTTTATAAAGGGAAATGAAAGCTATGGGAAAAGTGAATACACTGTAATAAAGTGGGTCTATAAGATAGATAGTTTAAAAAAATCAGTAAAGTCAAATAAAATTATTAGAAACTGGCTTATTAAATTAGTTAAAACACACTCACAGCAAATGTCAGATGATATTAAAGTGTCTGCACAGCTGTTTCAGAACTTAAGTTTCCAAACCACACAGGTCTTATCTCAGTGGTGAACGCTGTCGCTCTATTCTTTGTAGATGACTCTGGGAAATATAATCTGTACACCCTTCGGTGACTGCGCAGGGATGAAATAAACTACATAAGAGAGAGATTTTTTTCCCCCCTTCATTTTCCTTAATCTAAATAATATCTAAATACAAGGTGAAACAATGCCTTCAAGGTTTCTAGTGTTATGCTAATGTGCTGCTAAGATCCCACTGAATTGAGTTTCACTACAAGACTCAGTGAAGATCTAGTGAAAAAACATTTGGCAGAAACTCAGATTTACAAACATCTGAGTTTATACGGCTGCACAGTTGCACAAGAGCGGACCAATCAGAGCGGAGACGCTGCGTGACG